TAGCCAACGGATATGTGGTGTTTGAAAGATGAAAATAATTAACAATTCAAATGGAGTTATTGTTAACAGCAGCAGCTCTTTTCCTGAGAGGCCGTCTCTGGTAAGTGCTTTTGCAAGTAAGGGTAGTCCCATGGTATGTAAGGACTTGCAAAGAAAGGGATAGGTGATAAACATCTTGCTGGAAACATCTGATGCAGGATTTTATTAGGTTTCTTGAAGCGAGGAAACAACCATGTATGTATTTTACACATGCAAACGTCCAGGTCTTGCTTCCGTGATTCCTTCTAGGACTCAAGCATCATCAGTTTACCTGGCTTTTTGGTTTATGGTGCCAACAGGACACCTGTGCCTTCCTCTCCAGCAGACACAGCTGAACTGTAGTGCGTCTGTCAGCATGTCTGTCAGCGACTCGAGCTGCGGCTTCAGGTAATTGTTTTTCTCTAAAATGGCTTTGTTCTGCTTCAGAATTTCACTGGCCCGTTCCTGCAAAGGGGAAAGGCACACCTGTAGCTCAGACTGCTGGGGAGAGGAGCTGCTCTCCTTTTCCCACTTGCATTCCCAGAAGATAAATTTTGCCTTGTTCAAGTCAGCCTGGGGAGGGCTGTAATCTAAGCCGAGCTCAGCCTGTTGGGTTTTGTAGGCCATCTGGTAGAAAATGGGCAAAGAGGTGGCCTCTTGGGTAGAAACCTGCTGGAGAAATGATCTGCCAGATAGTCACGCAGCCCCTCTGCAACATCTCCAATTCCCTCAAAGTTCATGGTGAGCAGGGCTGGGAGCAGAGACCTGCACGAGGACAGCATGAGCACCGGTCCAACCTGCAGAGAGATGCATAAAAGCTGAGCAGACATATTAAATGTTAAGCTGGACCAAAGTAAAGCTCTTCCTTGAAGCCTGCTGCCTGCTCAGGAGATTTCTGTTTGGTACCAGTGATAAATCTCTATTTGTTAGCTTGCTTAAGTTTCTTTCCTGGGCAAGAAAATAATGGAGGAACTCTGCAGCTCTGGTTCAAGGGTTTTATAGGCATCTGAGCCTATATGGAGACACTTTGCCTGTCTGGAAGTGATGCAGATGCTGATCTCTGAGTAGGTTTTGGAGATACTACTGCAATGCAAAAAATAATTACCAATAATTCTTTTATGGGTCAGCATTTGCCATTTCAGGGAGAAGAGAACAGTGATCATAGTTTAAATACCTGCTCTGAAAAGATTACAGAACTCATCCCGACCCCATCGTTCTGTGCGCCTTCCCTTTCTCTCTTTCCTTGCTCGATGTTATCCATTTGTTCTGCTTCCCTCATAAGCTTCATTCTTCATGTCTCAGCTACGTGTTGCATGTTCCTTGCATTTGCATATAAGCATGTATAATTCAGGATCTTGCAGTTAATCTGCAAACCTGATTAACTCCCAACAAATACTGCTAGCAGCTGACATGCTTTATCGTCTGAGGTCTGAAAATGGGGAGTGCATACTACTCGTACTGCCAGTGCTTTGTAGGTTTCTCTGTACGTGTGGCCTCCAGTCAAAAGCCCTAGAATTCCATTATAACCTTTCTGTTGCTACCCATGGCTTTAGAAACAGCCTCTAGCTGTGGTGCTGTGACAAATACAAGCTAAACAATGCTATTAAATATGCATGATGTGTGTTCCACCATATTAGATAACATGGCCACATTCATGATCTGCTAATGCTGCCAATTCACAGCTTTGCTAATGCAGCCTCCCTCTCGCTTTTGCTTTGGGCAGTTTAAGAGGCTTTTTGGTTATACTTCACCTTTACTTTCTTCCTTTTCACCTGTTTTGTCTTTATTCATTACTCTGAAAATGGTGTTCTGCAGCAGAGGCTGGGCAGGATCATGTTTTCCAGCTTTCCTAATCTGTGGCTCACTAAGAAGCCAAGCTGGTCTGGAAAGCAATCGGAGGGGTTGATAGACACTGCTTTAGTGAAAAGCAGATACCCAAGTCCCTCCTTATCTCTGAGGCCGCTGCTGTACTGTTTGAATCTATCACCCTTCCCTTT